AGCTTTGTATGACTATGTCTTGGCATTGCTTTCAATACACATTAGCAGTTTATCTCCTAATAGGACTAAAGAGGTAATTTTCTGCTCCTTCTTTTTTCCTTAACTTAGATTGAATTTAGTCTTAAAGGAGCACAAAAGCAAACATACAGACTCCTCATTCTGATTTTAAATAATTTAGAGTGGAACTGTGAACACAATATTTTCCCCATTGAAGATCATTTTATACTGAAGTTTAATATAGGGTTTAAAATTTCTGTTTAAAACTTGGGCTCAGGAGGGTGATGGTAAAGTGTGACATTCTCAAGCTGTTTCTTGGTGATGAAAAATGCATGAGAACATAACCCACACAGGACTAGTCAGGCGCTTTTGAATGTAATTTTCCATCAAGTTTTACTTGATTCAACTCAACACGTGGTTGATGCTTTACAAGTTTCTTGAAGAAAAAAGAATAGATGGTCCATTGTCTATTAATTTCTTCCAGTAATGTCTTTTGTTCATTTTCTAACTGCAGTTAAATGTCTAAATCATAATACTTTCAACATTTCTTCTTTTCTAGTATGTACACATTTATTTAAAATTTCTTTTAGATATAGATTTGCCTGCATCCCATGGGTCTTAAAATGTCATGTCCTCAATGCTGCATATTTACTTATGAATTTTCAATTTAGATTTGCTTTTTAATCCAACCCATATGGTTAGACTATTTATTTTCTTTTTATTCTTATTAATAATTTATCATTTATTGTGTTGTGTTCAGAATAAGTAACTTGAAGTGTTTCTTACAGTTTTGATACTGAGGGTTTTTTTGTTTGTTTGTTTGTTTTTGGTAGCCTAAGCTTTCACCATTTTTTGTGAATATTAAATGTGTACTTAAAAAGAATATATGTTAATATGCATATGTTAAAATGTTATTTCTAATACTCAAGCCCACATATCTCCTACTTATTGGTCATTGGCCTGCTCTGCTGATGTCTGAGTGATGTATGTTTGTCTTGCATTATCACTGTGGATTTCACACTTCCTCATTTTATTGTTGCCAGCAGTTGTTTCATACACTGCAAAGCTGTGTTGTTTGGCTCTTACCAGTGTGTGATTATTAAATTTCTTGGTGGATTTTGACAAGGACCTACTGTGTAGCACAGTGAACTCGGCTCGATGTTATGTGGCAGCCTGGATGGGAGGGGTTTGGGAGTGAATGGGTACCTGTGCCTGTACATGCTGAGTCCCTTCCCTCTTCACCTGGAACTATCACAGTGTTGTTAATCGGCTATACCCCAATACAAAATAAAACGTTTTTTGAAAAGTAAATCTCTTGTTGGATTTTATTGGGATAAAATAATCTATTTGCCGTTTTGTGAATTCTGTCTTGTCTGCTGTCAGTGTTGCTATAGCGTACAGTTTTGCAAAAATACTTTTTTTCCGCTCGATTTCCCTTTTTATTTTCAGATTTGCTCTTTTGTGTGTTTTTTTGTTTCTTTTGTCTTTTCTCAGTAGCACATCGCTAGATTGTCCTTCCAATCTGAGAACTTTCTTTTACTAGAGAAATTTTTAAATTTTTGTTTATTATAAATGTTGATATGTCTGGATATAACTTTCTTATTTTATGATTTTCTGCTTTATGTGCTTTGTTACTGAGTATCTGCCCCTTCTCTAACTTCCCCATTCTTTACCCTCTTTTCCCTTCTTCCTTGTGCTTTTCTCTTATATTCTTTCTCTCCTTAACTTGTTTGGGATTTGTACATCTTATTTATTATACTAATTACCATATAAGTATTAATAGATGTACTAAAAATTATGCATGTGGAGTTAATTAGTATCTGCAGCCTGTCTTTAACAATCCAGTAAATCCCGGTATGTTTTTATTTTTATTTTTCTACTGTCTCTTGCCTTCCTGCACTTCCCCCATCACTCTAGCTATAACTTATATGAAGATAAAATGGAATTCTGTATCTTTTCTTTCCCTGTGGGTGGTAAAATTGCAACTTTTCCATCCCAGCTGATACTCAACTGTCTTGAGTATCAGTTGCTTAGTTGTCTTTTTTCAGCCATTGTTAAATCTATAAAAATACTATGCTGGTTGAAAAAATTTTCTGTTTAAATGTAACTTCTCCTTAGAGTTTTTTTTTGAAAATTCAATTCAAACATTGAACTTATTACTTTTTCACCTGTGTGCATTCTTTTAGTCATGGCCCATACATGTTTTATTTCATTAATTAAATATTTAATCTCTAAATCTCTGTTTCTGCTTAAAGAATATAATATCTTCTTGGATATCTCTTAAGATACTGGGTATTTTTATTCAGTGTTGTTACTTTTTCAGTAAGATGTTGGTATTCCTGAAATGATTTGTGATTCTTGGTTGTATACTCATTTTTGCATTTTAGAATTGCTCTCAGCTTATTCTGTTTTCGGTACATTGTCTCTAGTGATTGTGTGAGAGGCAGGGCCTACATTTTGAGGGAGGCAGATGTTTTATTCTTTCTCTGGTTATTAGCCACTTCAGTCCTCTCTGCCTTTCCAGCCTGAATTCCCACGTTCTCAGCTGTCTCCTCTGCACATGTTCCTGCAGTTTGCTTGGGAGGACATTCTGTGTTCAGCTCTGTTGATTAGTCTCCTATTTACCTAGAGGTTCCTAATTCTTTTATCTGTACTAGTTTTCTCCTACATATTAAGGCTCTAAGTCCCCCCAGTTTCTTCTCTGAAGTTTTGATTCAGATTACTTTTTGTATTTTAGAATTCCTCAAAATATGTGATTAGAAATGGACACTTTTTTGTTTCCCTTTTGTATTTCTGATTTATTATTTTTATAAAGTATCTTTTCAGTCATTCTGTGGCATTCTTGATAGGAAGGAGGTAAACAGCATTGCTCAATTTGGGGCATAGAATCTTTATAAACTGGAGGAGTCAGATTCATTGAAGGTAAATTGTGTATTTTCATAAGTGGTATAAGAGCATATGGTCAAGAATAGTGTAACGTTAAGTTCTTTCCCTAAGCTTCTAAGATTGGTTTAGTACAGAGCACCCCACAGTCATTAGCAGCTTTTTATCAGTTACAAATGTCCTTAAAACTGTGATCACATAATACTTTTAAGAAGTTATTAATTCTTTATAGGATTATCATTTTAATGTGTTTTGATACTATCTTTTTATAGAGACATTAAAATAACAGGTAATTTATCCTCATAGAGGACAGCACCCCCTTTTTCTCGCTGTCTGGTGAAAGTGGGGTGGGACTTGACCGCAGCAAGAGTGATGAGACTGCTTGCTCTTAGCACTTCTGTGGTCGTAATAGGATGTATGTTTTCTTAAGGGAATGATTTTGTTGCAGCTGAACATTAAGGATTGGTGTATGTGGATATAAGAGAGTTCATTTTGTAATAACTAGTGTTATCTGAATGTATTTGATTATTTGTATTATTGCTAAAAAGTATCAGACGGATAACTTTATATGACTAAATTTTATACAGTCATGATACAGGGGTCAGATAGTAAATATTTTCAGCTTTGCTGGCTATATGATCTTTATAGCAACTATAATTCTGCTATAGCTTGAAAAGCATAAAAGTGAAAAGTGAAAGTGAAGTTGCTCAGTCGTGTCTGACTCTTTGCGACCCCATGGACTGTAGCCTACCAGGCTCCTCCATCTATGGGATTTTCCAGGCAAGAATAGTGGAGTGGGTTGCCATTTCCTTCTCCAGGAGATCTTCCCAACCCAGGGACTGAACCTGGGTCTACGGCATTGTAGGCAGACACTTTACCTTCTTACCAGGGAAGTCGAAAAAGCGTAAGACAATATGTAAGTGAATGAGTGCGACGGGTTCCAATAATGGGCTTCCCTGGTGGCTCAGTGGTAAAGAATCTGCCTGCCAATGCAGGAAACATGGGTTCCATTGCTGGGTCTGCAAGATTCCCTGGAGAAGGAAATGGCAACCCACTCCAGTATTCTTGCCTGGAAAATTCCATGGACTGAGAATCTTGGCAGGCTACAGTCCATGGGGTTGCAAAAGAGTAGGGCACAACTTAGCCACTTAAACAAGTGTTCCAATAAACTTTAGGTCACTAAAACTTGATTTTCATATAATTTTCTCATGCTATGAACTTTTATTCTTTTTTAAATTTCTTCTGCATTAAAAATATATAAAAAGCTTTCTTAAGTTTACAAGATAGTAAAACTAGGTGGTAGGCTAAAATTTTCAACCACTAATTTAGTTTTCCAGGTAGTCATGTACAGATGTGAGAACTGGACCATAAAGCTAAGTGCCAAAGAATTGATGCTTTCAAATTGAGGTGCTAGAGAAGAATCTTCAGAGTCCCTTGGTCTCAACGGAGATCAAACAAGTCCATCCTAAAGGAAGTCAACCCTGAATATTCACTGGAAGGGTGATGCTGAAGCTTGAAGCTCCAATACTTTGGCCACCTGATACAAAGAGCCAACTCATTGGAAAAGACCCTGATGCTGGGAAAGATTGAAGGCAAAAGGAAGGAGGGGGTGGCAGAGGATGAGATGGTTGGACATGAATTCGAGTGAACCCCGGGAGATAGTGAAGGGCAGAGGAGCGTGTGCTGCAGTCCATGGGGTCGCAGAGTCAGATACGACTTAGTGATGAACAACAACCACAATTTAGAAGACTATATAATAACATGGAAAATATTCCTTTTGAGTGAAAAAAGCAGGCTATAAAACAGTATCTGTAGTGTGATCTGTAGTGATGAATGTTAGAAAGCATTCATCAGCATAAAGAGAGCAGTAGAAGAAGTCACTGCTGGTGGTTCCCTGTTGGTGATTAGATCATGGGTAAATTTAAACTACACTGTATTCATTTGCATTTTCTTAGTTTTGTATTCTGAATATTTATTATGTTTTCAAAAATAAACATTCTTATATCAGAGAAGAGTTATTTAAAAACTGATAGAGGATCTACATTTTCAGCAAAATTGGGCCATTTATTGTTAATTAGTTTGATACAATCTGTTTTGTTTACCTTCTGCTTCATTTTTAGCCAACAAGTCCCAAATTTGGAAAAGCTGACTCATATGAAAAACTGGAAAAACTAGGGGAAGGATCTTATGCTACAGTATACAAAGGGAAGAGCAAGTAAGTTCACTCATTTTTGAATATTTCATATGGAAAGTATACCTGCTCTCTTGGTACAAAATAACAGTGTATTTAAATAATTTTCACATACAGTAGACTTTCCTCCCTCAGGTTTTCTGTTATTTGTTGTTGTCATTGTTTTAGCAAATCATTAGAATTGGTTTTTTCTGTGAGCAAAGTTTTGCAGACTTGCCCAGTTGGTCTTTTCTAGCCTACCTCTCCCCCACCTTTATTTTCTCTTTCTCTCCTTGGAGGTGGAACGTTTGAATGAGAATTCATTTCCGGGTGAATGATGTGATTAATTTCCTCTGGAGGTTTAGGGTTTGCTCAAGAATAAGAGGACTGATTTGACAGCGTCAAATGTATTGACCATTCTTGGCACCTTTTTAAACTGAGCTTTTACACCATCTTTCAGAAGTAGTGAACAAACCACAAGCTCTTTCTTCCTATCGCCTTTGGCCTCATGCTATAAGTATTTCCACAGAGAGAAGCAGCTCTTCCCCCCCCCCCCCCCATGCTATCCTGGGATCGGGACACAGATATGGATTCTTTTTAAAAAAATTTTTTTAAGTGAGGTAATTTTAAATTTAATTTGATGATTTATTTTGGCCTTGGTAAGTGGCATGTGGGATTCCTGACCAGGAACTGAACTCGTGCCCGCTACAGGGGGAGCATGGAGCCCCCACCCTCCTGCACTGGCAGGGAAGCCCACAAACTTGGATGCTTCAGAAGCTTGCCTCTGTATGTTCCAGATATGCCTCCTCCCTCTCCCTGTTTTATTGAGAACACAGAGTTACTGTATTTGGTAACATGTAACGTGTAAACTACTCTTGTTTTTGTCTCTCTTTTAAGTCATTATGAAAGATAGGAAATTCCAACTAAGCAATTAGTTAGCAGTAATTGAGTTACTCACTAAGGTAAGTAATTAAAGAGCAATAGAAGACAGTTCTGTGAAGGATCATTCTAAACTTGGAATTGGAAATTTTGACTGTTTGCTTATTGAGGTACGCTGGCTTTTCTGGAAAGTAGTCTTACGCCTTTGTTCATAGTTTTTAAGTTAAGAAGGTGAAGCAGTATTTCTGCTAGAGGAAGATATATAAGTATGGAAATTCAGAAATGCTGTAGATCAAAAATTGAGTGTTAATGTTGAGATTTTATTTTTTACTTAAAAAAGCCTGATAAATTTTTAGTAGGAAAAAAAATATGGGGAATGAAATAACAAAATCTAGAGGGCTGTTAATAACTTCATTCTGTCACTTGAGCATAATGGAATATTATGATAATGGCTTCACTGGGTGAGTTAATTTCAACAGTGGTTGTGTCCCAAGTTTTTTTATTTTTTCCTAAGGAAAAATAGTATTCTACTGTATAAACTTAACTTGCATCTTTGATGTTAAGAAGGTGAAGATAACTACACTGCATTAAGCAATTGTTTTGTATAAAGTATGATATATTCACTGTCTCAGTTACTCCTCACAACACTCTGTAAGAGAGGCCCCATTATTATATTATTACCATCTCTGTTGGACCAGACATCTTGGTGCTTCGAGAAATTTAGTCCCTTGTCCAAGTCTGTACAGGTTATTAGTGACAGAGCTTGTCTTGGCTCATGTCTGTCTGGTTTGAGGTCATCTTTTCCTATCCATTATCCTTCCACAGGATAAGGTCTTCTTGGAAAGACTTGGTCCTGCTGTATTCCAGGTGGTTCTCCCGGCTGCTCTGACTTATTTTAACTGTGAATCAAACTGAAGCAAACATAGTATTTCATTATATGAAAATAGACAATCACTTTGCAGTGCCTTCCCACCAAAGATATGCTTACGTGATTTCCAAGTGCAAGATTACAACTCATGTGCTTAAGATTTATGACAAAATCTTGAGACATAGTTGAAACATTCTCTGTTTATTATGCCTGAATAAAACGAAGACTGCTTTTTAAGTACCTACAATTTTTGAGAAGGATCGTTCTGGACAGTTAATACTTTTCACTCCAACAGGTTTCAGTGTAACTTGTCAGCATTTCTTGAGCTGTTTAAAACTCTCTGGTCACATGTACTATTTAATTTCCTCCAGCTGGAGATGGAATCCAGTGACTACTCACCTGCTTTAGGAGATGACAGGCTGCTTGGCTTATTTGCCTTACAGTGGCAAGGTCAGGCCAAGGAACAATAGTCACATGCATCTAGAAACATTGGAGAGCTGAATTTGGTGTGTCTTCTGAAGCACTACATGATTTAAAGAGTCAACTGAATGTCGGGATCCTTGTTCCAATACTACTCACTCTCCCGTAGCTGTCTGCATCCCTACTTCCTTTTTTAAAAAAAATTTAATTGTTTATCTAATTTTATCTATTTGACTGCTTTGGGTCTTAGTTGTGGCATATTGGATCTAGTTTCTGGACCAGAGATCAGACCCAGGCGCCCTTCTTTGGGAGTCTTTGCCACTGGACCACTAGAGAAGTCTTCCTGCTTCCATCTTTAAATATTATCTTTAGCATCATCCTCAAGAGCAGCTATCATTATATTGCAGTAAAGCTGCCTGTCATTTGTAGAGATACCACTGATACTTGAATGGTGAGCATTTTACATATGTGTAAAGTGTCAAGTTTGGATTTTGCCATAGAGCTCATTTTATCAGTTTGCTAGACTGCTAAAATAAATAGCATAGACTGGGTGGCTTAAACAACAGGAATGTGTCATCTCCTAGTTCTGGAGGCTAGATCTAAGATCAGGTATTGGGAGAGTTGATTTCTTTCTGAGGGTTGGTGCTGTAAGGCAGAATGTGTTCCTTGACTCTCTCCTAGCTAGTGAGGTGTGCCGGCGATCTTTGGCATCCCTCACCCTCTCCTAGTTCGTGAGGTGTACCGGCGATCTTTGGCATCCCTGACTCTCTCCTAGCTAGTAAGGTGTGCCCGTGATCTCCTGACTCGCTGGTGCGTCACCCTGATGTCTGCCTTCATGATCACATGGTGTTCTCCTTTGACATGTTTGTCTCCACATCCCAATTTCCCCTTTTTATAAGAACGCTAGTCATTTTGGATTAGGGCCCGCTATAATGACCTCATTTTCACTTGACTACTTCTGTAAAGATGCTGTGTCCAAATAAGGTCACTTTCTGAGGAGTTAGGACTTAGAACTTCAGCAGATCTTTTTTTGAGGGTACAGTTGAATCCATAATACTCATTCATTTCAGACCTCACTAATTTAGCATCAGTGTGCATGGTAATATTCTTCTTTACCATCTCCATTTATGGTCTATGTAAGTCATCTTCTATTTCATGGTTCAAATAAAAGAAGCAAAGACTATTCCCCCCCAGTCAAAAGATTTGTGTAATTTTTGACTTTGATACTGTTGCTGTTAGCCATTGTTTAGAAACCTGAGAAGAAATAGAAAGATTTTTTTATTACTCTTGAATTCTCTTGGGTTTCTTGTTCCTGTAACAGTACATAGGCTGGGGAGAAGTTGTCTGAGATTCCTATACTGTGTAGCTTTTTGGTAATGAACTTGCTTCTAAAACGTGTGACTGATTAACTGCAACCATTTCAACATAAAACACTCACAAATAAGTTTTCTTATTTAAAAAAAAAGTTTTTGAACCTCCCACAGTTTCATGTTTGACTAGAGATTTGTTTTGTTTTGTTCTCCAGCTTCTTAATACTTTGTGCTTATGTGTGTTTATGTTTGGGATGGGAGGCAGTTTATCATCACTCTAGCTACTAATCTTTTTCCTGGTTTGATTTCCTGGTTTTGTTCTCTCTTCTAAATCCCTGTAACATTTAATATAGGATTAAAAAAAATCATGCAGTGTATAATACTCTACGTTTTAAAACTTCTGGCATTTAAAGATATCTTTAGTTCAGCACCTTGAAATCATCTGTTTTCCAAAAGACGTTTTGTACATTCAGAGACTTGTTCACGTTCTTTGAGTTTTTAAAAGTAATGGCAAGTGTTCATGATACTGTTCTTATGCTCCTTTTGTGCTGTAGGTAGACAGAAAGAAACTTAGATACAGATTCTGCCCTCAGGAAACTTAACAGTTTTGAAGGGAGATGGTCCATATACTATAAGTAACTCTGTATAAGTTAGAATGTTGTTATTGTAGTTTAGTCACTAAGTTGTGTCCGACTCTTTGCGACCCCATGAACTGCAGCTTGCCAGACTTCCCTGTATTGCACTATCTCCCAGAGTTTGTTCAGACTCGTGTCCATTGAGTCACTGATGCCATCCAACCATCTCAACCTCTGTCGCTCTCTTCTCCTCTTGCTCTCAATCTTTCCCAGGATTAGGGTCTTTTCCAGTGAGTTGGCTCTTCACATCAGGTGGCCACAGCATCTATCTATCTATCTGTCTATTTATATATACATACAGAGTATATTCTATATAAGCTAGAATGCAGTCAGAAAGGTCCACGGGAAATGGTGTGAAATTTCAAAAAGAAGAATGTTGAGTAAAGTATTTATTCTCTCCAGTGGTGACTGACTGAATTCATCGCCTCATGTGCTTTTAAATCCAGTCTCCCTCATCACTGTGTGTATCTATAGGACTCCTTGGGAGAGTTTTCCCATAGTCTGTTAAAGCCTGAGGGCCATAAAGTAAAAGCAAGCTGCTTTATTTGAGTTATTGTGCAAATTTTCATAAAAGCACAAGGGTTGTGTTTGACTGTTAACGTGGGATTGGTGTTAAGCAACAGAACTTGAAAGGGTTGGCGGGTTGTTCATGGGTGGGCACGTGAATGGCCGGCTGTTGCAGGTAGGAGCTGTGAGCCCCAGCCACTTCAGCTCCCAGATTTGGAGTGTGGTGGGCTTCTGTGTTCCTCACTGCACTGGGATCTGCTGGGGGGTTGCACCTGCGTCTCCTCCTCACCCCAGATGCTTGAGTTTTCCCGGGCTCCACCCCCTGCCACGAGTGGCGAGAACCTTTACTCTTGCCTGGGACAGACTCCAGACTCCTTTCTTTTCCTTCCTGTGTTATCTAGAGAGGATGGAGACTGTAGCTGCTTG